AGGGAACGAGACGCGATCGGCGAGAATCGTAAGGGAGGTTTTTGCATTTTTGGCGAGCCGGACTTGTTGCAAACCGCGATCACGCGTGGGCAAGAGTGTTAATTGCCTTGCGCGTGCGTCTGGGACAGGAGTGACCGCTGTCCCTCCCTTCTCCTCCCCCCCCAGCCCCCCCAATCCCCCCCCCACCCCCCCATTTCCCCATGCCCTTTCCCCCTTTCCCTCTAACCTCTCATTATTTTCCGCCTCTGCTTCCATTATATCTTTCCTTTCCCTACTTTTTAACATATCCCATTCTCTGTCACTTATCCTTGCTTTCTCTAACCTCTTCCTCTTTCCTCTCTCCACCGGATCCTTTTCTTGCTTCCGTCTTTATATCCTCTTCACTCTTCCTCTACACACCCCCCCCCCTTATTTTCTCTCTTCCTCTCGTCAACCCCTACTCTTACTCTACTCCTCCCCCTTCTCCTTCTCCTTCACTCACCCCCAATGTCGCCCCCCCCCCGATCCTCTATGGCAAACGAGGGAGACTTCCCTTCCCTCTCGTGTGGTCCTCTCTCCTTTCCCTCCTCCTTTGTACCTTTCAATACCCTTTTTTTTTTATCATATAGTCTCACTCTCATTGTCACTCATTCTTTTGGGTCTTTCCCCTCCCGTGCGCGCTTTTTCCTTATTCCTCATGTCCGCGTTCATCCGTTCTACCGCACCCCTCGTCCACCTTCTTTTGCCATGTTCCTTTTCTCCCTCTCTCGTCTCTCCGGTCCTCCCTCCTTCCTTCCCTTCCCCTCCCTCCCCCCTCCCACTAAACCCATCCCTTCGCATTTTCCTCCCTCTCTTCGGCTCTTCCGTCCTCATCCCTCCTTCCCTCCCTCCATTCCATTTTCCTCCTCATCTCGGCTCTTCCCGTTCTTCCTCCTTCCCTCTCCCGCCCCCCCCCCTCCCTTCCTCCCTTAATTCCATTTTTCTCCCCTCTCGGCTCTTCCGTTCTCTCCCATCCTTCCTTCCCTTGCCCCTCCCAATCCCCTCCCGACTTCCCACTGCCCTCCTTCCATTTTCTCCCTCTCTCGGCTCTTCCGTTCTCCCTCCTTCCCTCTCCCCCCCACTCCCTTCCTCCCTTCCATTTTCTCCCTCTCTCGGCTCTTCCGTTCTCTCCCTCCTTCCTTCCCTCCCTTCCCCTCCCCTCACTCCCCTCCCTCCCTTCCATTTTCTCATGATTCTATTTGAACCTTGCTTTATTCCCTAGATTGGTTTAGTATATCTCCTCTTGATTACGTAAGCTCCACTCTCACTCCGCTGTACACGTTGGCTTTAATTCAGGGCCGTTTGAAGCGAAGTGAAAACGAAAGCAGCGCGCTGCACTGCGAAAACCACAGCAGCAGCAAAACCATGGAGGTAATCGAGGGACTAGTTTTTTTTTTTTTTGTGTCCCGTATGTTTATTGTATGTGTAGTGACCGGATTTTGTGTCAGTGAGTAATATGTGTATGTATGTATATATGTTTGTGTGCATTGTATTGTATATATATATATATATATGATATATAGATATATATCTATATTTTATATATATATATATAATATATATATATATATATATATTATTATATATATATATATCATAACACACACACATAACACCATAATACATAGTGTGTGTGTGTGTGTGTGTGTGTAATGATTATTAATTATATACATATCTATCTAGCTATCTATCTATCTATCTATCTATCTATCTATCTATCTATCTATCTATATATATAGTATATATATATATATCTATATATATATTATCACTATACATATATATGTATGTATGTATGTATAGTATATATCTGTATACACACACACACACACACACACAAAACACACACATCATACATATATATTTTTTTCTAGCTATCTATTTTATCCTTCTATCTCTCTAACTGTCTGTCTATCTATCTATCTATCTATCTATCTATCAACCACCTATCTATTTATCTACCTGTCTATCTAAATACTAAATATATCTATAATATATATATATATATAATATATATATATATATATATATTATATATATATATATATATATATGTATATTTTTAACATTAAATATACATATATATATATATATATATATATATAGATATATATATAGATATATATAGATATAATATAGAATATGAGATATATATAGATATATAGATTAGATAGATAGATGATGATATATGTGTGTGTGTTGTGTTGTGTGTGTGTGTGTGTGTGTGGTGTGTGTGTGTTTAGTGTGTGTGGCTGTGTGTGTGTGAAAGTGTGTCTGTGTGCGTGTGTATGTGTATATGTATATGTATATGTGTATATATGTGTCTATGTATGTGTGTTTATGTGTGTGTGTGTGTACGCACATACACACACACATATACGTATGTGTGTATGTTAGTATATATATAGATAGATAGACCGATATACGTGCGTGTGCTTGTGTTCCCCTCCACACATAATCCACCAAATGGACCGGACGAGTGATCGTGGCGGATGCGAGACGGAGCGCGGGCGAGGCGCGGGCGGCGGGCGGAGTAGCGCCCGGCGCCCGGTTACTCCGGTGGCGAGTGCGCGTGCCTGCGTCGTGGTCAGCCTTCGGCCTCTGGCCGCCGCTTGTGGGTCACCGCCGTCCGCAGCAACAACTGATCCTGCCTGCGACTGACTGCCAGCCGTCTGGACCGCCGCGCTGCTCTGCTGTCTGTCGCGGGGGGCCGCTTCTGTGGGTTGGGTTGTGGGTGCTTGTCTGGAGTGTTCTGTATCTGGTTGCTGCTGTGGGTCTTGCTTGTTTGGATGTGCTGTGGCTGTGTGTGGTGGTCTGTCTTCCTGCTGCTGGTGTGCTGGTGGTGTGGGTCTGTGGTCTGTTGCTGGTGGGGTGGTCTGGGGGGGTCTGGCTGCGTGGCTTCGTTTTTCTCTGTCTGGGTCTGGTTCTTCGGTGGGTGGTTGTGGGTCTGTGTTGGTCTGGGTCTGTGGGGTCTGTGTGTCTGACTTTGGCTTGGCTGGTGCTGTTGGTTGCTTCTTGTGTTCTGGGGGTCTGGTCTGATTTGGTCTTCTGTTCTGTCTGTCTGCTGGTTGTGGGTCTGTGTCTGGGGGGGTGGTTCTGTGGATGGGGTGGTCTTTTGTCTTTCTGTGTCTGGTGGTTTGTGTCTGGTGGCTGGTGTGGCTTGGGTGTGGGGCTGTCTGCTGGTGTGTGGGTGTCTCTTGGCTTCTGCTCGTCTTGTCTGTCTTGTGTCTGTTGTGGGGCTTGTTCTGGGGTGTGTGTCTGGGGGTTGCTGTCTGTTTCTGGTGCGTGTCTGTGGGGTGTGTCTGCGCTGTCTGTGGTCTGGGTTGTGGGGGTGTGTGGTCTGGTGGTCTGGCTGTGGCTTCTTGTTTGGTAGCTGGTGTCTGTTCTGTCTTGGGTGGGGTTTGTCTGCTGGCTTATGTCTGCTCTTTCGGTGTTGTCTTCTGGTTGGGCTCTGTTTGTTTCTGGTTTCTTCTTTCTGGGCGGCTGTTGTGTGTGTGTGTGGTCTGGTGGGTTCTTCTTCTGTGTGGTCTGGCTGCTGGGTGTGTGTCTGGTGGGGGTGCTGGGTGGGGTCTTGTTCTCGCTTCTGTTGGCTGGGTGGTCTGTGGTGCTTCTGTGGGGTTTGTGGTGTCCTATGGGGATGGTGTTCTGGGTCTGTGGTCTGTGGTCTGTGTGTCTGTGCATTGGTCTGGCTGGTGTGGTCTGGATCTTTGGGTCTGTGGGGGTGCGCTTCTGGTTTGTAGTGTGGTTTGTGTTGATGGTGGGGTGGGGTTGTGTTTTTGTGGTGGGTATAGGGTCTTTGTGTTCTGTGTCTGTCTCTGGTTGTTGTCTGGTGGGTGGTATGTTTGTGGGGCTTCTTCTGCTGTCTGGGGGGAACTGTCTGGGGTTGTGTGGTGGTGTTGTTTGGGTTGTGCTGTGGATGGGGTGTTGCTGTTTGGTGTTTTGTGGCAGCAGAAAGGTGGTGGTCTTCTGCTGGGTGTGTCTGGGGTGTCTGGACTTGTGGGTACGTTGCTTGTGGGTGTTGGGTGGTGGCTGGGGGCTGGGTGTGGGTTGCTGTGGTTGTGTTGTTTGTGTCTTGGCTCTGGGGTTGTGTCTGGGTGTTTGGTTGGCATTCTGGAGGTGGGCTTCTAGTGTCTTGGTGTCTGGTGGGTGGTGGTCTGGGCTGTGGTTTGCTTGTGGTAGGTCTCTGTGGGTTCTCTTGTCTTTGGGGCCGCTTCTGTGTGTGTGTGCTGTTGGTGTGCTGCTGTGGGGTGTTGGGTGATTGGGTTGGTGGGTTGGGTGTGCTTCTGGTGGGTCTTGTGGGTGGTGGGTTTGGTTGTGGCTTGGTGGGGCTAGTTGTGGGTGGCTGGTGTGTGGTGTGGTGGGTGGTGGGGGCTTCTGGGGGGGCGTGCTGGGGTCTTGTGGTGCGGGTTTGTGTCTGTTGACTGTGCTGTGTTGGCTGCTGGTGTGGGGGGTACTCTGCTTGGGCGTGGTGTGGTCTCTGGTGGTTGCCTGGTCTGGTGGTGCGGGTGTGTGTATGGTGTGTCTGGAGTGTCTGTTTTTGTGTGTGTCTTGCTGTGTGCTGGCTCTGTGGGGTGGGTGTCTTGTGTGTCTGGTGCTTCTGTGCTTCGGTTGTGGTTGGGTGGGTCTGGTGTAATGGGGAGGTTCTGTGGGTGTGTTTTGTGTCTGGGTCTGTGGTCTGGCTGGGTGGGGAGGGTGGTGTGTCTTGGTGCTGGGTGTGATGTGGGTGCTGTGCTGGGGATGTGAGGGGTTGGCTGGGGTGGCTGTGGGGGTTGGTTGGGGTGGTTGTGCTGGGGGGTGGTATGGTTGGTTCTTGGTGCTGTCTTTGGTGGTGTGGCTGTGGGGTGGGCTGTGGCTGGTGGTGGGAGTGTTGTGGGTGTGTTGTGGGCTGTGTGTGTGGGTATGTGCGTGTTGGGTTGGGTTTGGTGGTCCTGGTTTGGGCTGGGGGGGGTGTGTCTGTGGGGTGTTGGGAGCTGGGTCTGTGGCTTGGTACTGTCTGACTGTCTGGTTCCTGTGTGCTGTTCTGTCTTGGTTTGGATTCGTTGTCTCTGTGTGTAGTCTGGCTTTCTTGCTGTCTTGTTGTGGTGTGTGTGTGGTGTTTCTGTTGTCTTGCTGGGGGGTTGCTGTGTGTGGGTGGTTGTGTGGTTGTTGGTCTTGGTGTGCTTGGTGTGTGTCTTGTGGGGGCTGCGGGTGGTGCGTGTGGTGTAGTGTTGTGGTTGTTGGTGTGGGATGGATTGGTTGCTGTGGTGGTGGTGGTGTGAGGTGGTGGTGCTTTCTGCTGCTTCTGCTGTCTGTGTGTGGTGCGGTGTTGTGGGTGCTGTGGTGGTGGATGTGTGGTGTGGGTGCCTGTGTGGTTGTTGTGGGGGGTGTGTGGTGTTTGTGGTTCTGGGTGGGGGGTGGGGGGTCTGTGTGTGTGGTGTGTGTGTTTGCTGTGGTTGCCTGGGCTGTGTGGCTGGACTGTATTCTGCTGGTGGGTGGGGTGGCTGTGTTTTGTGGGTGCTTGGGGGGCTGGGGGGGTCTGGTGTGTGTTGTCTTTGGCTGGTGTCTGCCTGTCTTCTGAGTGTGGTGACTGCTGTTCTTCTGGGGGGTGCCTGGTCTTGTCTGCCTTGGGGTGGCGCTGCTGCTGGGCTGGTGGGTCTGCTGCTGCTGTTGTGTGTGTCGGTGTGCTTGGGCTGGGTGTGTGATGTGTGTGTCTGGTCTGGGGCCTGTGGTGTGTGCTGTTGGCTGCTGCTGGTGTGTCCTGTGCTGTGTGTGTGGGGTGTGCTCTGTGTCTGTGATGGTCTGCTGTTGTCGGTTTGCTGGTGTGTGTGTGGTGTCTGTGGTGTGTGTGTGGTTGTGTTGTCATGGTGTGCTGTGGTCTCTTGGTGGTGCTGGGGTGTGTTAGCTGTCTGTCTGGTGTGCTGTGTCTGTGTCTGGTCTGCTGGGTGCTTCTGGGTGTGTGTGTGGTGTGTGTGGTGGCTGGTTCTGTCTGTGTGGTCGGTGTGGTGTGGGGTGGGGGGGGCTGGAGGTGTGTGGTCTGGCTGCTGTGTCTGTGCTGTGTCTGGTGGTGTGATGTCTGCCTGTGCTGTGTCTGGTGTGTGGGGTGTCTGTGGTTGTTCTGTGTGGGTGGGCTGTTTGGTGATGCTGGGCTGGGTGATGGCTGCTGTGAGTGTGGTGTGGTGCTGCTGTTGTGTGTCTGGTGGTGTCTGGTGCTGTGCTGCTGGGGGCTGGTGCTGTGCTGGGGTGTGGTTGTGCCATGTGCGGGGGGGTGTGTGTGCTGGTGCATGTGTGTTGTGTGTGATGCTGTGTGTGGGCTGCTTTCTAGTTGTCTGTGCGCTGTGATGCTGTGGCGTGTGTGGTTGTGCTGGTGTGTTGTGTGCTGTGTGTCTGTGTCTTGTGGGGGGTGGTGGTGTGTGGTGTGTGTGTGTGTGGTGTGGGTGCTGTGCTTTTGCTGTCTGCTGCGTGGTGTGGTGACTTCTGTTGTGTGTGTCTGGGTGTCTGGTGCTGGCTGGGTGCTGTGTGTTGTTCTGGTGGGGGCTGTGTGTGTGCTGCTGGTGTCTGTGCTGTGTGTGTGCTGTGGTGCTGGGGGTCTGTGTGTGTCTGCTGGTGGCTTTTGCTCTGTGTGGTGCTGTCTGGTGTGTGCTGTGCTGTGTGGTGGTGCTGTGCTGTTGTCTGCTGCCTGCTGGACTGTGTTCTGTGTGGGGTGTGATGTCTGTGTGTGTCGCTGCTGTGTGGCTGCTGTGTTGTCTTTGGTGTGTGGTGTCTGCTGGCAAGTGTTGGTGGTGGTGTGGTGTCTGGGTGTTTGCTGGTGTGTGATGTGTGTGTCTGTGGTGTGCTGCTGTGTAGCATGGTGTCTGCTGTGTGTGGCTGCTGGTCTGGCTGTGCTGCTGACTGTCTGTTGCTGTTGATGCCTGCTGCTGGTGTTGGCTGTCTGTGTGGGTGGCTGCTGTGTGGTGCTGGCTGTGGTGATGTGTGTGTGCTGGCTGTGGTTTGCTGTGCCCCCCCCCTGGTGTGGTCTGGTGGGCTGCTGTGGTCTGGCTGTGCTGTTTGTGGGGGCTGGAGTGCTGGTGTGTCTGTTGCTGTCTGTCTGGCTGTGGTCTGTGTGTGTGTTGTGGGTGGTGTGGTGCTGTGTGTGGGTGTGGCTCTGTCTGCTGTCTGCTGTGGTGCTGGGCTGGCTGGGTGTGGTGGGTGGTGCTGTGTCTGTGGGGTCTGCTGCTGTTGTGCTGTGGTGGACTGTTCTGCGGGTGCTGTGTGGCTGAACGTGTCTGTGCCTGGTGTCTGTGGGTGTGCTGTGCTGTGTGGTTCTGTGCTGTGCTGTGTGCTGGGCTGGTGGTTGTGTGTGTGGTGTGGGGTGTCTGTTTGTCTGTGGGTCTGTGTTGTCTGTGTCTGTCTGCTGTGGTGGCTGAAGTCGTCTTGGTGGGGGTGGTGGTGTGTGTCTGGTGTGTCGGCCTGGCTTGGTGTGGGTCTGTCTGTGGCTTTGGGTGGGGTCTGCTGTCCTGTTCTGCCGATCCTGGGGTGTCTTGCAAA